ACATGCCCAAGTACTGAGTCAAGGGACTTAACTTTAAGTGAAGATGAGAATGCTTCCGTGGAGTCACTGCCCCTTCATTTATCATTTAAGGCGCTCTCACTGGGACCTAGTGAGTTGTCCTTGACACTGCTACTGTATGAATCACACAATCAAAAGAGGCATTGCAGGTCTGCTAGCTTATTGTGGAGTCCAGAGCCAAGCTGCCCTTCTCTAATGATAGTCTCTTAATGGCACCCCTGCTGATCTGAGGTCAGCATGGTCCATGCTATGACGCTCCTAATGTTTTAAGCAGACTGTGTCTGTGCACTCAGAACCATTAACACACACCCTGCCAGGATAACCATGTTCACCTGGAAAAAAAAAAAATTTAAGATTAGATTTTTTGTTTCTCTCTCTCTCTCATATGTAACCCTGAATGTTCATTTTTGGATTTAACAATGGACAGATGATCTTGCTTCTCTTTACAGATCAGTGTCATCCCAATGTTGTTTATATGCATGCAGAGTGTAATAAGTCCAGAGGTTTTGTTTTAAAGGTCAACGAGAGAGTCCGTGACCAGGTTTGTTCTTGAGAGAAGAAGGTCGAGCTGCCAAGATAGCAGAAGCAGGTGCCAAACACAAAGTTTTAACCCCCTGTAACCTTTTGACAAGCTGTCAGTGGGCGAGTAATTAAATCAATAGAGGAAGAAAGGATGTCAAGCCTCTTTTAATACAAGTGTGGCCTGTAAATTCAGATGGACTCTTTGCAGGAAAAGCATAGTTATTTTTCTTTGAGTTATGTCTGTGTTTGCAAAGGCAGACAGTCTACACACATTTTCCTTTTTTTTTTTTTTAACAGTTTTCTATGCAAGCCTTGTATTTAAAAATTAATTAGCTAATTATAAGTTTAAAATAATGAATCAAGTCACAATTGTGAGATATTATGTCATATTGTGAAAAATAAAGTCACAATTATGGAAGTAATTACTAAAAATCTAGCGTAGCATTAGTTCTGGCAGGTCATGTTAGTTAAGCTCGCATCAGCTGACTCTCAGCTGATCCCCAACAACCTATGGGAATACGACACCTATCTAAGCATTCATATATAAGGTCCCTTAGTATTATCAGCAGTTTTCGCATTGCTCAGTAGCTAATTACCCTCCTCCATCCCCAACTCCTCCTCTGTCAGTCAGGATTCAGCCTTCTGATTCTCCTTTGAATCAGACTAATTCTAAAATGTGTACATAACATTATTGAACTTTAATGATATCTGCAATACATTTATGTTGGTTCTGTTCTGTGTATCCTGGGGGGTTATCGCTGCTCTTTTCTTGCCCAGAACAGAACCATACCGCCAATCCAAACTGTATGCTAATTGTCAATCATCTTTGACGATAGTGGTCCTGACAGAAGTATTTTTTTTCTATGCCAGAGTTATTGTGGCATCAACTATTTTAATTATACCTGCTCCTAATTGACAAGTAAACAAACTGTGATTGATCACTTGATATATCAATCAAACAATCTCTTCTTGTCTAATTGGACAGTTCTTTGCTAGAATAAACTGCAAAGTAGACCAGACAGATGTACTTTGTCAAAAGTCTGGCTCCACAGACTGCTTTTAGCCGTCATCCGACAAACGACTCAATTGATATGCATAGACGAAGACCTAAGTGGTTTATGAAATCCTGTCCTTTGTTCATACACACCAAATGGCCTTAAATATTTAGCTGGAACTCAGCAGACTAGTTTCTTTAATCACAAATGTCATTATTCTGCTTGATCAGTGTCAGTGTCAGTGTCAGATTTGATAATGCATCCTGAAATCCCACTTGTCTGCGGCAGATTCCCTTTTAAGCAAATTGTGTGATTAGCAGTCAAAATAATAGAATGCTGCCTTCATGAAGAGCAAGCTTTCATTGAATCGCTGTCGCTCTGTCATAAGTCAAATGGGTAGGTTGTCTGCTATTCATGTCTGTTTGATTTATCAGTGGTTCTAGTCATATCTTCAACAGCCACTATTGTGAGTCATGCAAATTCTCGCCAATGCAATTCCAGATGGCAACGTCATTGATTGATTTTAGGTTAACAAATGAGTGGAAGGTATAAAAACCTTCTCTGAAAACTACTCATCACTGTCCCGTTCAAAGAATAAAGGGATCTGTGTTGTCAAATGGAAGAATGGCTCTCGTTAAGGCTCAAAGCTGCTGCCTGTGACTTATGGGACATAGGCGTAATGAATGTGGTGATCACAGTTAGCATCACAGGCAGTAGATCTCGGCAGATTGATGAGCTCTTTGACTCGTCGCTTTAGTTCCAAGGTGTGCATCATTTCATATGTATACCTATGGTGTTATTAATTATTGATGTAGCGTGGCATTTTGATGGCTTGTCAACATGTGGGGTGGGGTGGGGGGATGACTTTTCTCATCATTTGCAAGATCATATGCATGTGTCACCTGGAGCATTGCACCTGGAATGTCTGAGCATCCACTCATGTTTAAGTAATTTGATTTCCCAGCCTGCAGCTAAATGTGTCCTTTTCCATGCAGTTTAATTGTTGTTCAAATAAAAAAATTATTTGTCACACTTGATGATGTTTTGATTATGCACTTCTCAACTGGTATCATGCTCTGATACTGGTCATAACAAGGCCAGTTCAAGGTCATATATATATATATATATATATATATATAAAGCATTATATATAAATACATCATTT